ATAAAAAATAAATTTAATTTCTTTGTAAAAACAATATAATCAAAAAAATCTGGTACCACTGTAGTTCACGCTGTTTACAAAAAAATTATCAGTGCGTTGCATATTGCGAATGCAACACTCACTCACTAAAATTGCACACACATCGGCTACGAAGTGTAAAAGTCACTCATTCGCACATGCAGACGTTACAACTCGCAGCCGGTGCACAGTGCGTATACGTATCCAAACGACCCTGACTGTTTGGGATACGAATATGAACACATACTTTTATATAGCTATGCACTTATGTATGTGTTGAAAGCTGTACAAAGATCACAATATTTCTTGTTTACACTATACGCTGTGAAAGTATGTGCGTATCTGTGTTTGTTTGTTTGCGTATGAAAATATGTCGAAGAAAATCTTGTAAACAGTTGAGCAAAAATTTAAATTTACGGCGGTCAACCACACAATGGAGACACGCCAAACGCCCACATGTGGCTGGGTGTTCGCAGAAATATATGTATATATGTATATATGTACATATAGATATATGTATATGAACATACAATATATATAAATAGAGTATGCGCACCTAAATTTACTTAAAATGAAAAAAGGTGAAAGAAAACTGAATATGTGACCAAAACAAGTAAATTCCTTTAAAGAATGTTTATGTTTGCAGTCAACAAAGCCCTCAGTGTTTGTATACCAACAAAAAGGTAAGCGTTAAATCTGCTAAATGCGTCAGCATTTGATGTTGACTAGCAAGATTAGTAAATAATAGACCAATGACACAACACCTGTGGCGTCAAAAAAAAAATTTCACAAATTTTCGGTCAAATTTGTGCAAAAATAAATCTAAAAGTAAATGAAACGCAATTGTTGATCACAACTACTATTAAAAAAAAGGAGAAAAATAAGTTCCTTCAATTCTAAAAATAGTTTTTTGTTGTAAAATTTTCCATTAATAAATTGATAGTCGGAAGCAAATAAAAGCCAGGCGGGCTAACTCACTAATTTGGGGTGAATATTCGTGTATACCAATGTATTTATGTAAATATCTTGTGTTTTTGTTTTACTCTTCTATGTATGCATATAAATACATATAAATGAATGAGTAAATTGAACTGAGCAGCTGCTCATCTATTCGCATTAAATGACTCCGCATCAATAAGCAATGCTGAAATTAAGCGATGAAATATTGCATACGCAAACAAAAATTGTTTCAAAAAATAAAAGAATAAAAAATTTGGCAGACAATAACAAAATGTTGTTTGTATATATATAT